GAAACTTTCGGAAGTACCCCGAGCCAAAAATAGAAAATCTTCTGGGTTATCGAGTGTGCTGAATACGAAAAATCACTTTTCAGCAACTCTAAACCAACTTTATTTTTTTTGTTCCGGTGATATGTGAAGCATTTGTAAGTTAATATACTATCTCTCTTTGAATCATGGAGTATTTAGTATTCATAGTCCTTTTATATTACCGCAAAAGGAACATAAAATCCGTAGAACACATCCATAGAACTAGGTATGTTTGGTTCTTGGTTCCGGTTCTCGATTTAGAACCGAAACGAAAGAAATAGCGGTCCGGGTTCCGAACTTAGAACAGAACCGTGGTCCTCGGTTCTCAGCTTAGAATCGGAAAATAATTTTTCTGATAGTAACAATTAACGAAATAGAATTCATTTTATAGTAAGTGGAAGAATTCTTTTAAAGGATGACAGGCAAATATATCTTTTTGTAGCTTTCTCAATAGTGTGTTTTCATTTCGTAAAGAGAAATGCCAGTAAAAAAGGTTTCGGTTTCGAAGAAAAGGAATCGTCTAAGAAACCGCGGTTTTGGTTCCATCGGGAGAACTGGCAGCACGGTTCCGATTCCAGATGAAGAACCCAATATAAGAGAACCGCGGTTACGGTTCTTCACGAGAACCGAAGACCGAACATCGAGTACGATGAAAAAATTTTGAACGCCAAGACCAAACTTCAAAATTATGACGCGTAAGTCTTAAAAAAAGTGCGTCGCGTATTAGCATCTCTTATTTTCTGCAGCTGAAAGTAAAACATAGACATAATCACTTCATGCTGTTTACGGAAACTTTATATTCTTTTTCATATAAAGCAAATGTAAAATGGCTTCGTTAAATCTAAACAATATACTAACCAAACTTATCGTTTAGATACAACTCAGCCGTTCATCCAGCATAGTATATTCAAAAGTACAAAAGTTATATCGAATACAAAACTAATTGTGAGCGATTATCACTAGTACAGGGTTTTCCATTAGGGGCGCTCGAACTTTAAATTGAAATAAAACAACAACTATATACAATTTCAATGAGTTTTTTTATTCAACGTAAAGTATATTTGATACCATTACGTATGGAATATAACATCATTCAAATGACCACCACGGCTTCGTTTCATAGCATGGATTCTTTGGACCCAATTTTCGATGACTCTCTCACATAAATCAGGCTGTATTTCAGCGATAACACGTTCAGTGTTATCTTGCAATGCATTAAATGTTTGTGGTTTGTTGGCATAGCACAATGACTTCACATAACCCCATAAAAAAAAGTCTAACGGTGTTAAATCGCATGATCTTGGTAACCAATTGACTGGTCCTTTTCTTGAAATAATCGATTCACCAAACTTCTCCTTCAATAAATTGATTGTTGCATTAGCTGTATGGCATGTGGCACCGTCTTGTTGAAACCAAATGTCGTCTGCATCAATATCATCAGTTTTTGGCTTCACTACGTGCATTTCTTTGTCTTACTGGCACTTTCGTATCAGTAACAGTACCACTTGATTCAAATTTATTCACTAGACGACGAATTGTGCTTTCTGCAGGACGATTATTTCGACCATAAAATTCACGAAGTGCACGAAACGTTTCTCGCACAGATTCATTATTTTGATAATAAATTTTAATAATTTGCACTCGTTGTTCGATTGTGTATTTATCCATGGTGAAATGGTTTAATGAACTGACAATAAATGTCAAAAAAATTCTGATGACAGATTTTTAGTATTGCCACAGCAGAATGTCAAAGATCGAGCGCCCCTATTGGAAAACACTTTATAACTAACGAGTAAGACCTCGCATTTCTATGAGTTGCACATATGCGTTGGAAATGTAGAGAGATATTTGCTTGATAGGACCCTTATTTTTCTTTTGCTTGATAAACAAAAGCTCAGTTTTTTTGAATAATTTTCGATAGATTGTTGTTGATTCATTATAATCTAACTCGATTTAAAAAGATTTCCTCATTTTCTTCTAAATGTTTCAATGTGCAAGGGAAATCGCCCACACTAAATTTACGGCAATTTCTTTTTACAACGAATCTAGAGGAGCACACTGTGTACTCTGCAAACGAATCACCTATCTCTGTTTAACAGTACACAGTGTATGCATGCTAGTAGAAAGATATTTCATTGCGGGAACCTTTAACTAAGAATGGTACTGTTATGGCGCATATGCTTCAATCTTGTCGTCCAACTTATCTAATAAAATCGTTCGCCAGAGAAATTTCTTTTTCTTGTTTTCGAACAGTGGCATCATGTAGACCATCCCAAATTACCTATGTGCTGAAATTGTCAAGATATTTTAGTTTATTTTCACCGAACTATGAACTTTTTAGTTTTCCATGTACATAGCCAAAAATGCCTACGTTCTGTTTATTAGGTGCGATGGCTATTCTTGGCTTCGTGTTAAATCCGTACTCGTGACGAGATGAAAAAAGGCTTGTGTGCATTTAAAGGAAAGAGCATCTTTTAGATTCGTAACGAGTTTAAATGAATCTTATATCCTCACGCAGTATAGGGGAGGCTGGGAAGGCTGTTTTGCATTCGTAAGGATTCAACCTAAACGTTACTAGTATCTAGACCGAACGTCTATAAACTACGACCCATTCTAGGCACTTGAAGTTGAAAACGAAGTTTTCTATTGGTACGGTATTTCGTATTGTTAATGTTGAAGAAAAGCGAGACGAACAAGTTTGTATTGTAAAATTGGACTTAACCTCTAATGAGGATCAGCAGTTACAAGAAATGGTTACTTTGTATAAAACCATGACTGTTGAACCGCTGATTAATCTTGGTGTGACCTTGTTAGAAATTAGGCAATATGAAAAGACAGCGCATTATTTAAAAATGCTTCTAGACGAACTTCCTTTCAATCACCCTTCTATCGGTGTAGTTTATAGTATGCTTTGTTCTGTCTCGCATAAAAAAGGCACTAAGAAAGACAGTGTAAAATCTATTCAAGAATCTAAAGCTCATATGACCATGTTATGTTTACCAGGCTGCCAAGATATTGTCAATTTGGGAGTCTGTCTCACTAGAGCGACGACTCTTGAGACAAGAGGTAATTATGTTGAAGCTATAAACGTCGTTAAACAATCCTTGACAACAGTTTCTCCAGATACCTGTTTAGGAAGTGAAATATTTTATAACACTTTTATTACAGTAGGACATTTGAATTTAGCGCGTAATTACCATAGCCAAGGTAATTTTGCTGTTGCGTTGAAACATTATTATGAATCTCTGAAATATCCTCAAAATGCGGTGATTAATCGTCTTTGGATTGCAACGACTCATAATAATATGGCTAACTTGTATACGTCGCAAAAGAATTCCATAAAGGCCTTAGAACACAATGAAAAATGCCTTGAAATCAGGTTAGAAGCTTTATCATCAAATCATCCTAGTCTTTCAACTGCGTTCTACAACATGGGCTGCACATATCTCTTTAGTCACAATTATAGTAAAGCTGCTAAAACTTTTCAAAGAGCTCTTGATATTTTGTTGTCTCAATCTACGGACTATCTGATACTTTCAAGAGTTTATAACTTACTTGGTATTGGTGTCATCAAATTCTTTGGCGAGATAACGTGCTGTTGTGAATAAGTGGTAGCTGAACACCATCAATTTTCAGGACACATAGTGGACAATTTTTGCTAGTCATGTGGCCATCGGCTTTTAAAGAATGTGAAAGCCGTGGAAAATATGTTTTTGTAGATTCCTGACCTCGGTCAATTCACTGAGAATAAAAACAGAATTCAAAACGAGTTTTCTAGAGATCTGGCTTCTGAAAAACCCTCACAAAACCGCTTTGGAACTTTTCAAGCGCGGCATTAGATCGACCATACCTGAAAACCTATAAAAATATCGTTTCAGTGTTTCATAAAGCTTTTGTGACGGAGGATGATTCTCTGAAAGTCATCGAATTCGGTGCTTAGCTAAACTTCGCGCCCTCATTACTGAGCAGAGTTGGAACCGGACCGATCCGGTCCGGTTAAACTTTTCAGCCGGCCGGTTATCACCAACAAAAGATAATTTGCCCTAAAAAATTTTCGGAAAATTGTTTTTGTCGAATTTCAAAATGTAAAACGACAGTTTTGTTCAGAATTCGATGCCGATTCCGAAAATGTATAATTCATGCCAATTTATTTTAGGACGAAAAGTGGCCATTTTGGCACCCGTCCTTATAAACGCTTTAGACGATAAATATTGGCCTTCAATAACAACATTGCATTGGATCGTAACATACCTTGAACCCATATTCAAACATCTGGCATTTGTTGATGACAAAAAAGATTCTGAAATGCGTAAAAATGAGATATAACGTTGATGTTTTCTGTTTCAACTGCCGAATTAAGAAGTCGATAGAGAAAACTAACATTACTGTACCACAATAATCCACTTTCTGAACATAAGTTTAGATTAAAATCGGTAATTTTCTTTTGTTCTGTTTTACTATCTTTAGATAATTATAGTCAAACACAATCATCATGCCAAATTAAAAGTTGTACTATTTTAATTCAGCTGGTCTGGTCGAACTTATCCGGTTGATATCTGCTTCAAGGCGACTAGAAATTTGAAGATATTCGATTTGAAAAAGATGCTGAATGAGAATCACACAAGAATGAAATGCCATTAGGGCAGATGAATGTGCTGAAAATTGATGATGTTAAGCTACCACTTATTCACAGTAGCACGTTATCTCGCCAAAGAATTTGATTTAGCCGGTAAACATTGATTTCTTGAATTCCCTTCCTGAAAATCCGTGTTTTTCCGAGGAAATTCCGGTGATATTTGTCTATTGTGCTTATAAGTCGAAGATTGGGTTTGTATTACTGAGAAGAAAACTGACAATGAAAAAATATGATATGTAATGGCCCCTATGCCCTAGCTACGTTCCAATGATTATGTCATTCATAATGCTTTACTAGATTTTTCAAACGAGTTTTGTTTTTCTAAGTACATAATATATTCCCTTGCCGTTAGTCAGGCTCAAAAATAAACTAAAATGTTTGTATGTCCACACGGAGAAATCAAAAATTTAATAACTCTTGACGGATTCGGTGTAGTTGGCTGAAACCTGGGAACTTTAGGTAACCCAGCATGGAGAAGCTATCGATAACGTCGGAGGATCTCCGGGAGGTTTCTAAGAAAATATTTGGTTTTCTGTCGATTTGTAGGTACAATTTGAGTCATTATGATAGCTGAAGACAAAATCCTTATATCTTATGTATACCCTGTTGTATCTCATCTATAAGGTGATTAACAATGCAGTTATCAAGAAGAGATATGATTTTGTGCCGAGTTACAACGATATGTTCTGAGTTGACATGAAGCAGATCTCAACATCTGGTATAAAATTTGCGTTCAGATGAATTATGTGTCCCCCATTTAGATTTTCGCCCAACGTTCCAAGTTTGTAGAGGATATTTCGAGGTAAAAGTCCTGAAGTTTTCTCGACTTACTGGCATTATTTATCTGAGAAAAAATTAATTACTTTAAAAAAAATTGTTAAGTTTTTGAACAAGGGACTATTATTAAAAGAATTGCTGTCCATTCTCCATTCATCATAAAAACTTGGTTCTAGTCTAGATCGATAGAGAAATGTGTGGAGAATATTTACTACTAGAAAATGTGTAAAAATTGTTGTTCTTTCCTTCCTGTTATTGACTAATTAACGTTAATTTAACCTACTCTACTAGCTTAGAACCCCATTTGCAAAATAAGGACTCAACAAAAGAATTTAAGCTATACCTCACCTGACAGAGAATTTCACGGGCTACAAGACTGGCTAGCTTAAGAGTTTTAGAATCGAATTCATTCATTAGAATTCTTTTATAACATTTCCGTGCTCAAAACTTTAACAATATTTTTTTCTCAGTCAGACAATGTCCGTAAACCGGAAAAACTTCAGACCATATACTTCGAAGTGGATTAACCGACGTTTGAGCGACCGATATTTGAGCGATTTAGAAGCTCAGCGATCTAGGGCTCGCGAGTCTAGGTGCGATCCTATTGGCCATAAAGTTTTCTTGAACTTGAGAATGAGAATAAGTAGTCGACTATGGAGAATCGACGAGAATAGGTTTCGGGCAGCTATAGGTTCAAATAGGTTCAAAAACTGCATTGAACGATGTATAATTTGAAACATTTTTCTACAGAAAAGTTTTCGATTAAACTGAAACGTAGAGTAGAACTTTGACTGCAACAAATTTTGGATATTCATTTTAGCAGCGGGACGAAAGTCTATAACCACATTTTTTATAGGTTTTCGAATATGCTGTTTTCATTGTTGAGATTTTTGAAATCCAAAAATAATTGTTTCTGGGTTTTCGGAAAACCGGATCTTCACAAAATCCATACAAATATTTTTTTAGATGTCGAAAATCTCAAAACTGAAAAGAGCATATTCGAAAACCTATAAAAAACGTGGTTATAGAGTTTCGTACCGCTTCTACAGC